TGTCAGAAAGAAAAACACAAAAGCCTTCGGTTTTGTACCAGGGACAAAAGGTCATGCTAAGCGGCCAGACAAGCTGACAGTCTACAGAAGAAGCCGGTCAGCTTTGTCGGTTGGTGACTTTGAACAAGAAACGGCCTTATTAGAAGAGAGGAGCAGAAGAGGGCGTCTCTGGTTCAGAATGGAGACCTGTTTTGTGTCTGAAGCTCCTTAGAGGGGAGGGGAGGGGTGCGGGGAGGGCTGGTCAAGTGGCCTTTTCACAGTGAAGATGCTCCCAGGGTCCTCCCTGGGTCCTTTGCAAGCCTTTACCCCTCCCTACCTGTCGTGCTAATCCTTTCGCAAAGGGGCTCCCCTGGGCAGGGCAGTTGTCTAATTCGTTTGGCGTTTCCCTCCTTGCTCTCTACCCTCAGCCCTTCTCACCATTAAGCTTCTCCTGGCAAGTGGAACCGGTCAGCAAATACCCCAAAATCTGGGAACTTCTTGTGAGGGTTTTTAAGGGTAGCAAAGCCAGGAAGCCATGGTGAAAGAATTCTAGCAACTTCAGACATTTATAGAGGTTGAACTCCTGGTACCTTTTTCTCCCCCGAGTTACGACAGGTGCTGCCTTTCTGTTTGAGCCAGGAAGCCCGGTTTCCAAACTGTGCAGGGATCCACGCTGGTTCAAGGTACAGCAGGGTTTAACTCCTGAGAAACCCACTATACAGTTTGGGGCCGTAGCCAGATGCAGCCAACTAATAAAGCACCACCTGCCTGTTTGCAACCCCATACCATGCCTTGTCATGCTAAGCACACGTCAGTGGAATCTGGCCTGTCCAGTGATGTGCGCAGGAGTGGCTGGTGGGCTTTCTAATTCAGCCCTCCTTTCCTTCTGGACTGCCCACTTCTCCCTGTCTGGCTATTTTGGCCAGACACAGCCTAGCCTTGACCCACTCAAGCCAGAACAGCTGCTGCACGCTGAGAGGAGTGGGGGGGGGGCTTCTCTCTTCCTCCCTGGCTTTAGGGTTCTGCGGCACATGGGCTGGAACCGGCAGACTTCCGGGGATCCCCTGGGAGAAGCGACTGTTCCTTTAGAGAAAATGTTTAGCTGATTCCGAATACAAGTACTGGATCAGAAAGACTCCTGCAGAAATTGATAACATTTCTGGTGCGTTTTGGAGGAAAAAAGAAGCACCTTGCTTATATTTGTCAAAAGAAATATGCTGTTTCAAACAGTACTGATAAGCTGGGATTGTTCCATTTTGCAAGCCTCCCCTCCTTTTTTAAAATGAATAAATAAATAAAGCACATCCCAGGTTTGAAATTCTCTCCATTCTGCTGGCAGGCTGTCTTAGACAAATTGTCTGGATAACTGGCTTACTGCATTGAGCCTCTAGTGAATGGCTGACTTATCCAAAGCCTTTCCTAAACCTCCATGGTGTCTGAATCTTGCATTTAGCACGCTTCAGCCAACGGAGCGTGTTGCAGCACCCTGGGCGTCCTCTTTTCAGAATGGAGACCCTGTGGATGCTTTGCTGAACCTTGCATCTGCACAGGATTGGACTTAATTGCCAGAAGCCTTCTTGGGAAAAAAAAACTTCATGAGGATGGAAGCCCTCGGGAATCTTATGTGTGGGTTGCCTTTGCTTTTCTGCACAGAAAAACTACCAGCGTGGAAATATTGGCTCCCTGCATGATTCACAGCAGGACCCCTTCCTCTGTTTGTTCTGATGAGCTGGATTTAGAAGGCCAAAGTCCCCAACTCCTGGCCATCTAGAAACCGTCCCCTACATGGCTTTCATCCAGAGAAGAACCAGAGAACGTGGCTCTAACCATTTCTTTGAAGTAGGAAAGGATTTCTGTGAAGTAACTGGGTGGATTAATGTTCTTGTGTGTGAATCTCTCTCTTGCGTCTTTCTCTATCCTCCCTGGCTTTCAAGGGAAAGGCTTGGGAGGGTACCCTACCTGGGGTCTTTCTCAGACCAGAAGACTGGCCTGAGTTTGTAGATCAGCTTTACCTAGAGCTTTGCCATCTGTAATCCAGTAGACCACCCTTCCTAGACATAAGGGCAGTGCAACTCGGGGCTCCCCTGGAACTATCTTGGGGGGGGGGAGAAATCACTTTCCCTGGCACATCCTGATGGTTGAGTTCTCCCCTGCCTCACCTTTGCAGTGACCAGGTAGGGTTTGCTGGTACAGCACTGTGGTCTGCATTCGGTGTGGTGCCAACTCTTCTCCGCTAGCGTCCCAGAATGGAGGGGTCTCTGTTTCCAGGGCTGCAATGTGAGTGATCAATCTCTCTGCCTGGGCTGTTCCTCGGGAGCTTCTGTGCTGCTCAGTATTCTAGCCATGTGCCATGACATCAACAGTGAAATAAACCTTTTGCTGTGACCCGCTGAATGCTAGAAAACCCAGATCTTACAGATACACATCTATTTCTTACAGGAGACTTTGTATAATTCACCTGATCAATAGCTCCCTCTCACCCACATCCTCTCCTTCCCACCCTAAATGAGGGGGAGCCTGTCCCAACCAAGCTCTATCAAGATGACTTTATGGCTGACCAAAGATACCTTGGAAAATCTGAATAAATCAGCAAAGGCCTCTTTGCTAAATGACCCTCTGTGGGCAAAATGTCTCTTTGACCCCACTTTTTTCACTTGAAGCTTCTAGGAAACTTCCTTTGGGTCACGATGTTGTGTTAATCTGTTTGTTGGATGTCCGTCTGTAGCGTAAACTTAAGTATGGTAATGTGGAATCCAAAGATGGTGTCTTGGCATGATGGTTAAACTCAGCCAGTAGCAGAATGACTCCTGAGCCAGCTCTTATTTGTATGCAAATTTTCTGTGAGTTCTGGACCGTCCTCTCTTGAACCCTGTATTTTATTGATTGGGAATTGGTTGAATGGGTGATTGAAGACGGTGGGCACTGAAGCCTAAAGGGGAAACATGGGTGTAGAAGTGAGCACCTCCTTTTTATCTTGTCTGGACTCAGAGGAACAACCTGTTTGAAAGGCATTAGAGAGTGTCTAAAGAGGGGGTAAATAGAGATCAGTGCTTCCATGTTCACTGAAGTCTCCCCAAAGCTTTAAAACCATGCAATTTCTCAACTTCTGCACATGCCCTTGTTTGTATCTTTCTATGTTGCAGTTGGGACTGAGGGGTGAGCCCCTGGGGCTGGGGATCAAATTTATTTGGAGGACATTGAGCAAACTCTGATTGACATTTCAAGGATTTATCCCAGGCGATGTGATTTGCTTCATTGGATTGTTCTTAGTCAACAACCCTGGTTAAAAGCCAGAGGCAGAAGGGATCCGTCGATAGATCAGAAGGCCCATTGGCAGGGGGATAAATTAAATATGTTCACTTCGGTCCCAAGGTGGCCCTGTGTTCATGCTTGGCTTCAGAGTTTCTGCTGACAGAATTTGGTTTTAAACACTGTGTTCTGGGATTAATTCTTGAATATTTAAAGTTATCTGAGGGGGTTGGATGGTACTTTTTGTCTGTCTTCTGAAGGGAATAGAGATTGTAGCTTTAAATATGAGCCAGAGTCAAGGGGGCATTTCCCTACATAACCTATGTGATATTACATTTTTATTTCAGTCTTATCTTTCCCCTGGCCTTGACCATTAAGTCACTTGACAGTGTCACAAAATAAATCAAGACATGCTTAAAATGCTCCAGTATGAAAATCATAAAGGCAACAGTTCAGAGGACTATCTAACGAGGTAAAATCCCATTTTTGTCCCCCAAACTCTGGGGCAGTGAGGAATAAGTGCATCTCCCAAAGCTACGAGCTTCGCAGCTAGATTTTTCTTTTAAAAAAATGGCTCTCATAGGATGGAGCACTAAACTGCTAAATTCTTCTTGCTGCGGTTAGAACGGGACAAAATAAGACAAAGGGGGTAGATTTGCCAGCTATCATGAACCCGCATTTCAATATTATCTTCGGTCTATCAGAACCGGTTCTCCTTCTCAGTTTTATGGCTTGATGGTTGCAATCAAGGAGTGGAGAAGGGAAAGTCAAAAGTGAATGAATCCAAAATTGGTCCATTCCTAAACAGCTGGGCTTCTGAAAGGAAACGGTCAGGGTTCTTGTTCTCCTGTGCACAGCCTTGATGGATGGCTCAGAGATATTGAGGCGATTATTAACTGCAGAACTTTATCGGAGAGGCTGGTGGATTTCCATCCTTGCTTGAATCTTGATTTTTTTCTCTGCTATTCTTTTTTCTGGTCCTTGAGAAGCTGCCCCTTTTTGCTGTACCTGCTTTCTCTTCAGGCTTCAGTCTTCAATTGTTCATTCAGCCAAGATTTGTGGTCAAAAACGGCCTTGTTATCCCCCAGAACTTGGTGAGATGTCCTATTGCTTTAGTATCTTCTACGTCTTCTGTTGCTTGCTGTACCTTTGATCATCTCTCTGATCTTTCCTATTGTATTTCGTAATTGCTGCTAATTAAGAACTGCCAGCGCTTGCTGGGCTATTGAATTCTCTTTCATAATTTGGTACTAATGAGAGGCTGGTGGGTGTTTGGCAACACGGATTTGACTTCTGCTAGAGTAGAGAATTCTTTCCTACAAAACAACTCCGATTTGCAGATTGTGACCCAGCCTTATTTTAGGGTCTTCAACGGGAATCAGTAGACAAAGGATGGGGGGGGGGGGAGATGAATACATCTATGGTAGCAAACATTCAGGAGGAAACTTGCAGCCCTTCTCACCATTTTATTCAAAAGCAGCTGCATGAAAGTCAATGCTTTCTAATAACACGCATGAGTCAGAAAAGGGGCCACCAGAATGCTCCTAAGCAGAAGAACAAGAGAATCACTTTTACACTGGCTGAGCCTTGCTTCCGAAGATCTGCTCTTGGCCCAGGACAGCTTGCAACCTCCACAGTCAGCTTTGCTGTGCAATCATAAAATAAGCATGGGGAGAGCTTTGCATTTTCTAATTTGAGCCAGTTTTCCTAGCCCTGGGAACGCTGGAGTTCGGTACGAAGGAAAACACACAGGTGGACTTATTTCCATGCAGGTTTCAATCCCCTCGAGTGGTGCTTTTCACACCTGGCAACTTTGAGATGTGTGGACTTCAACAGCAGAATCCCCCAGGCGGCAGCGCTCCAGGGCCACAGACCCCAGGCGGGCCTTTTGCACCAGCGCCCTTCAAGGTAAGGGCTTGGGCTGTTGTTGTTTTTATTGCATATTGAGCTTCTTCCCTGCAGTGCACTGAAGTGAGCAGGGAAGGTTTACTCCCCGCTGGGCTGGCTGTCCGGCCTGATGGCTGTTCAGAGAGTGGGTGCAAACCCCCGTTCCCCTCCCACGAGCCATCCAAGGTCAGGGTTTGGTGACCCTGAATGGAGGTTGTCGGTTCCTTCTGTATTGCCCGTGTCCTGCCCTCCTCTGCCCTCCTGTGGCTCTCCATGTTTTGGGGCATTTTTGAGCCAGCTTTTGTTATATGTGGGAGACAGATTACATGATTATGTGTGAGCCTCCCGATGTGATTCCTGCAGTCTAGTGTGTCTTTCCCTGTTGGAAAAGAAACGCAAATCCAGCTTGTCAGGGAAGGAGAGAGAAGCAGAGGTGGGATGGGGTTAATGGGCTCTGAAGAGCGAGCGGAGAGGCCAGGCCAAGATCAGAGTGATGAAGGCTCTGATCCTTGCTCTGATGGTTCCCTTACATATTTCCTCCAACAGTTCCCAGACTGTGGAGGTTCGAGCGCAGAGGAGCTCTTTCCTTCCTTCCTTTCAGACCTCTGACACCAAAATATTGTTTGCAAGAATTTCAGAACTCCAAAACATTGCTTTCTCCATGGTTTACCATGCTGGGAGAAACAGCAAACTTTTTTTTTGTTTTTTTTTTTTTTAAAAAAAACCTTTTCCACTATTAGCGTGCCTGGATTTTTAACAATGTTGAAGACCCTGCAGTACATTTTGTGCTTTATGACACAAAAATACAAGGGGTTTTGGCAAGTTAAGAGTAAGAGCAGTGTGTTGTGCAATCCAACCCTTCTCTAGCCAGCTCCCCTCCGTGCGGCCTCTGCACCCCAAATAACAGGGCAGATAATTTCTGCTCAACGTGCTTTGATTTACAGTTAGAAGTTCTGTGGTGAATCCGGCAACAGCCCTTCAAGTTAGTTACTATGGTTCCTGAGCTTGTCCAGGGCAAGAAAGGGGGCCTCATCCTGAAAAGCAGCCAAATGAATGCGCCCATTGTCATCTGGGGCGCTGAGGGGCCCTGGAGGGCCGTCATCGGAAGGAGCCTTTTCATGCCTTGAATGCCTGAAGCTGTGGGAACCCCGTTGATCTGGTTTTGGCCTGATTTGGGGGGAATGTCAATTAGAGCCACAGGAGAGCCCCTTGCTCAGGATCTGAGTGAAGAGGGGGAAGGGGAGGGAAGCCTCGCCTCCAAGGCCCTGGGGTTCTCCCAGTCCCTGTCCGGGAAATGTGACCCAAACTGCTGCCTGAAAGAGGTGGATCGGCTTTTCCAGCCACATGGGCTGAGGAATCCAGTGGGCGGGATAAGAGGGCCTTTGTGTCTCAGAGCCCTTTGTGCTAGGACTGTCTCAGCACCTGTAGAAAGATGGGCAGGGGTTTTTTGGCAAACCCAAAGAAAGGTTTTGCGCCTGGCTTCCTTGAGAGAGAGAGCAAACAACGGCCGGCCGGCTGTGATTTTCTTCCAGCTGGACATTTACTTAACCGCCTGCTGCACCAGAGGGGCAGGAGATGAATGAGCGGACGGACGGCCCCTTTCGCTGCTTTCTGCCTGGAGGGAATTTTCTGTCTGAGCAAATTGACGGGAGAGCTGGTGCTCAAAAGCTCCCAGGCAACAATTTAAAATCCTGCCCCTCCCAGCGAATGCATCTTTCCGATGGTGCTGGGTACCTCGGCAAGAGGTGAGCAGATGGTGCCAATTGCTTTGCCGGGCATCGTGGCTGCATCTTGCCCGGACCTGGGAAAGAGCTGAGTTGTTTTCAGTACTCAAGTCATGTGCTGGAGCTGTGCAGAGGTGGAGAGACCTCCTGCGCTGCCCAAAAGACCATTTCCATTCACTGTTTCAAAGCTGGGGGGAATGGAAAGGCCAAACAGAGAGGAGCACCCAAAGCACTTCCATACGGTCCACAGGACATCACAAGAGCCAGCGATCTGCTCCTGGGAGAAAGAAGCAGCTGCTAAGGACGTTTTGGAATGAGCTCGTTTTGGAATGAGCTCAAGTCAGAAATGGGTCTCCCTTTTCCCAATAGCCCCCCCTCCCCTGTACCAGCATTTTCATTCCAGGCCCCTCCCCCATTCCCCCATTCCTTATCCTGTTTTAGTTCCTGCCAGCTTTAGCCCCCAATGGAGGGAGGGGAGGATCACAGGAGCCTACTTTAACCCAACCTCTGGGGGTTTTTTGCAAGGAGAGGCTGCCCATCAACAAGGCCCCCTCCTCATCACTGCTCCTGAGCTGCCCCACTTACCTCCTTAAGAGGGGAGGGGGGAGGGGGAGGGGGCCTTGGGGGTCTGTCTGCTCCTTGGTTGAAGGTGGGCCTAAAGGTCAGCCTCAAATGCAAAGGCAATTCTAAACCCAGCGGGTTCTGCCTTGCACAGCTGCTCGCTTATTATAGGACGATTCTGGGCTTTCCCGTTGTGAAACCCAAAAAAAGAAACACCAGCGGGTGTTGATTTTTAAAAAAAAATTGGTGGCAGACAGAGTTGAGTAATCGGAGGCTGCAGGCAGAGCGGAGCTTCCTGCCTTAATTGGGGCGGGGGGCGGGGGAGGCACTGGGGCAACAAAGCTTGTGATGGAAGGGAGGGTCCTCGTCCTTTCTAAGCATTTGTATGCCGGGGGATTTGGGGATCCCCAAATACAGGGAGTCCTTGACTTATGACCAAAACTGAGCCCATTTCTGTTGCTAAGTGAAACATTGGTTAAGTGAGTTTTGCCCCATTTTACGACCCTTGTTGCAACAGCTGTTAAGTGAATCACTGCAGTGAATCGGCTTCTTTATTGACTTTCCTTGGCAGAAGGTCCCCCAAGGGGATCACGTGACCCTGGGACACTGCGACTGTCATAAATACGAGTCAGTTGACAAACCTTTTTGCCGTGCTATTGTAACTTTGAATGGTCACTAAACAAACTGTGGCAAGTAGAGGACTGCCTGTACTCCGACTGACCTGCAACTGAAGGAGGGTTGTGCGAAGGGAGAGGTTGGCTGCCCCTTTGGTGGGCCACGAAGAAGCCCTGCTGCTCTCCCAAAGGCTGCAGGCTGGAGGTGGCTGGTTGGTTCAGCCTCCCCTGGGTCTTTCGGCCCTCTCCAGGCTACCTGCCAAAATTCACCCTGGGACCAACAGCTGCAGCCCCCCCCTCCCCAAAGACATCGACAAGCAGCTCTCGGCAGCCTCCCCTGGTCAACCTGCTTGTGATGGCCGGGTGCCTTTGTTTGGGGGGGGGGCCTGCCAGGCGTTGCTGACTCTCTGAGAAGTTTGCAAATCCCCAAAGATGTCTGCTTTGCTGCGGATGTGCCCAGAGGCAAAAGGATAGTTGACATGGCAAATTTATATATGCCATTGATGAGTGGAAAGTCGGAACCAAGAATCAAGCAAACTGGATGTTGTCAGAGCAGGAATGACAAATCTGAGTCTTGACGTTCTAGGAATCCGTGGACTAAAAAGACTGGAATTCGTTACCTCCTCTCAGAGGAGAAGTAGATCTTGCGCTGTGGATAAAATAACTAAAGAGGAAATGGAGCCTCTGTCAGTAACAGCAATGGATGTCGAAGCCAAAGCTTGGACACCAAAGGACAGTCTGACCTCATTCCGAGTCCAAGGCAAGCCGGTTCATCTGATGGTGACCCATCGGTTCCGACCACCGTTGAAGAAGCCAAAGCTTGGGAAATTGCAGCATTTGTGAACACAAGATCATAAATAAACGAACGTGGATATAAATAACAAGAAGGCTTTTGTTGAAAGTGGGCAATAGGCAGTCTTTGCAATAATGAGAAAATGCTGCGCCAAAGGAGAGACAGACTCACACACACAAAAAAATACCGGTAAATAGCAAGCTCCTTCTTCCCACAACCCAAAGACAGCTCTGGCCTGGACTTCATTGGATGGATGACACCAAAAGGAGACTGCTATTTATTCAGAGACAGAGATGGAGAAACTCTGTTTAGTCACCAAAAATAAGAACTTGGTGTGGCTCTGATCAGAGGCTCCTGGCCGAGCAGGAGATGGCTGAGTGTTTAGATCTTTTTGGAGAGCGCCTGCTTTAGGGCACCACTGAGCTGTGGAGGGCTTGAAGATCGTCTGCTTTGGCCATTTCTCAGCTTCATCCTCCCTCCTCCCCCTCCCCCAGCTAGCAAAATGTGGATCATGATGGCTAAAAGGATGCAAACTCATTCGGGCGAAGACTTTCTGACTTCGGATGCTGAGAGAGGATATTTGTAGCATGGATTGTTTTAAGAATAACCGTCTCGTGGCCTAAAGCCCGGCGTCCAATCCACGGGCTGAAAGAAAGGACGAAAGATTTGTCTTGCCCCTTCCCCAGAGTATAAAAATGATTATCTCTGCACCCCCAGCCTTAGGCTCAAGCCCTATTATCACCCCATCTTTCACTTGCCTTATTTTTATGTCTAGGTAACCAAGGAGATGGAGCATTCTGGTTATTTTATAGTAAGCAATAAAGAGAATTTTAATTGTCCCTTACACTTTTAAGAGTTCCCAGGCCTGCATTTGTAGAAATAGGATATTAGTCTTTTCCCCCCACCCCCATTTTATCAGCAGAGCATAATGCAAGTTGGTTAGGAAAAGGCGTTCTGTTTTTGAAGGAATGCATAGTTTTTCTATTTTTTTTAAAAAAAATATGTCTGTTAACTGACATTCTCAATGCTTCCAGAACTTTGAAACATTAAGTATGAAGGTGAAAAGAAAGCATTCAGAGATTGATTTGAGGCCTTCGCTGGGCTGCTTCTGCACGCTACAATACTTGCGTCAATGCGCCGTCTCAAAACTGGCATTGCCTCATCTGCCAAATTGCAGAGCTGGAGCAGCAGGTGGCCGTCCCACTAGAATTGCAAATGGCTAGCAGCAAGGGTTCCGCCTGCCCAGATTTCGGCTGCCCTTTTCCAGCTTGGCTATTCTTCCCACGCTGCTTCTTTGTTTCCCGCTTGCACATCCGATGGCCATGACAT